CGCAACCGTAAAAATAATAAATACGTCTTCCTGCCACACTGCATCGAACCACCGTGCTGGCCCTCCTCGGGCCCGGCCCTTCCTCCCTCCGTCCCAGAGAGATCGCTGCTCCTCGGCCTCGGTCACTGCGGGGTCCCGAAGGGCTTGTCATGGAAACAGTCACGCGAAAGGCGAGTGTCCTGGGGTCTGCCACGCCGGGCTGCGGGGGGAAAGCCGTCCCGCTCCCTACTGCAGCAGCTTCGGTACCTCCACCTGCCGGAGAAGACACCCCGTTACTGGGGGGAGCAGCGAGCGGTGCAAGGGGACGCTGGAGCGGCGCGGGGGCCCTACGCAGACCCGCTGTGGTGGAGCTGGGCGCCTCTCGGTTGCGGCCGGGGACGCTCAGCGCTCCGGGGACATCTCTTCCTCCAGCTCGTGGGCAGCCCGGCCAGGGACACAAACCACCTGGGGCGAGTGAGGCGTTTCAAGGCATCGTGCTGGGACCAGTGCTGGAGACGTGGCCTCTCCGGCCACCCTGGGCTACCTCCCACCCCAGGGGTCTGGGCTCACCCGTGACAACGCAGCCGCCAGCCCTACGCAGCAGCGAGACCTCGGCGAGCTGCTGCCCTTGGGGACCCACGGCCTGCGTGCTCGTCTGCTGGGACACCGGGTCCACGTGGCTGCGTGTGAGCCTCCCTCGCTGCGGCTAAGCGCTGCTCCTTTTCTGCACGGGGAGGTCCTGGATTTCCATCCCCTGGGGATATAAGTTAAAGCCGGCTTCTTCCTTGTGTCCCAAACCCTGGAGCAAAACCTGACTGCTGGAACGAGGTGGATCTGCCCAGCCCACGCGCTCTGCCAAGGGATGGATCTGCTGACCCCATCTGCTCTGCAAGGGATGGTGCAAAGGGATGGATCTCCCTGCCCCGTGGGCTCAGCAAAGGGATGGACCTGCCCTGCCGTGTGCTCTGCGCAGGGGTTGGGACCACGGACGCTCCGCTCCGCACCCTGCGCCGGGCAGCCCTCACCTCTCCACTACCCAAGTGATAACAGACGTGACCTCAGATCTCAGCCCACAGACTAACCCCGCGGGTGCTGCCCGGAGGCGACCCCACTGCAGCCCTGCACTTGCCTTCTTGAGCTGTTTGAGGTTGCTGGAGCGGATGGCTGCCAGGAGCTGGTCCCGCGAGTTCTTCTCCTGGACTGGCAGCGCCCGGTCTCCCAACTTCCTCTGTGTGGCCGGCGAGAGCGAGTTCCTCAGGTTCTCGTTGATCAGCGGTGGGGCGAGCGGAGGAGGAGGTGGGGGCGGCGCAGCGGGCGCCCCCCCTTTCTTGGGAGAGCTTTTGGGGGAAGCCTTGGGGGACGGCTGCGGGGATGGCTTGGGGGACCCCTTTGGCAAGGCTCCGGGCTTGGGCACCTCCAGGAGGTCTTTCTTCTCCCCACGCTCCTGTGCCAGTTTCTGCTCCTGGAGGCGTTTCTGCCTCTGTTTGTCCATGTTTCGGCTCAGCAGGTTGGTCACGGTCATGCGTGGTCCGGCCAGCTCAAAGTGGTAGCCCAGCTTCAGGAGCGTGGTGTTTTCCTTCAGGAGCTTGGCGATCTCCATCTCCGTCTTCCCCCCGCAGATGTGCCGCTGGTTGTGGAAACGCAGCTCCGTCAGCGTGTTGTTCTGCAGCAGCGCTCGGAAAATGGCCAGGATGCCCTTGCCCGTGATGTGGTTGGAATCCAGGTTGATGCTCGTCAGCACCTTGTTGGACTTCAGCATGATGGCGATGGCAAAGGCCACGTGGTCATCGGCACGGGTGTTGGCCAAGGCGAACAGCTTGACCACAGTGTTGAACTCCAGGGCCTCGGTGAAGCGCACCAGGGTCTCGTTGTTGATGCAGTCCGAGTTGTTCACGTTCACTTCGGTGACATCAGCGTCATTGTTCTTCACTTTCTCGATGAGCTCATCGAAAATGCTGGATGCTTCGTCATCCTTGGCCTGATCTGGGGAGCTGCCGGTGATGGGCTTGGAGGGGCTGCTCTCAGCCACTGCCTTGGCCTCCTGTTTCTCCTCTGCTGCCTTTTCTGCCTCTGGCTGGGATTTCTCCTTCCCGTCTGCCTTTGTTTTTTTCAAAGCTGAACTATTTTCCTCTTCTTTTTTATCTTTTTCTTTCTTATCTTCTCCCTTTGTGTCTTTTTCTGCCTCTTTCTTTGATCCTGAACTCTTCTCTTCCTCCTTTTTGTCCTTCCCTGTGCCCTTCTTCAATGCAGAACCCTTTTCTTCTTCCTTTTTGTCCTTCCCTGTCTCTTTCTTTGCTGCTGAGCCCTTTTCTTCCTCCTTTTTATCTTTTCCTGTCTCTTTCTTTGCTGCTGAGCCCTTTTCTTCCTCCTTTTTATCTTTTCCTGCATCCTTCTTTAACACTGAGCCCTTTTCTTCCTCCTTTTTATCCTTCCCTGCATCCTTCTTTAACACTGAGCCCTTTTCTTCCTCCTTTTTATCCTTCCCTGCATCCTTCTTTAACACTGAGCCCTTTTCTTCCTCCTTTTTATCCTTCCCTGCATCCTTCTTTAACACTGAGCCCTTTTCTTCCTCCTTTTTATCCTTCCCTGCATCCTTCTTCAATGTTGGGCCCTTCTCTTCATCCTTTTTGTCCTTCCCCATCAACTTTTTCTCCATGGCCTTGACTTTATCATTGATAGCCTTCTCCTCTTTGGTCTTGGTCTCAGCCTCAGCTTTAACTTTTGGGTCTGTTTTCTGAAGACTTTCTTCCTTTTTGGAGTCTTTCCCCACTTTTGTATCTCGTTTCTGGGCCAGGTCTTTGGAAGGAGCTTCCTTTCCCTTTTCTTCTTCATTCTTGGCTCCCTTACTCTTCTCGCTCGATCTGCTTTCCTAACAAGAGAAAAACACCAAGGCATTACAGAGGCAGATGCTTTCGACCTCCAGACTTGCCACTCCAGTCTCGTCATCACCAACTCTGCACCTCTGTCACACAGGAGCAGCCACGGGGCCGCGCGGGGCAGCACCGCAGCCGGGGAAGACGTGCAGGAGGATGCAGGACAGTCCGGTCTCAGGAAGGCCTTAAACCATGCCTATGAGGGATAAGCTGCCCTAAAACAGGTGTTTATGATAGAAATCTGGTGAGAGCATCGTGCCAGGGTCCCCAGGAGGCAACGGGGAGGTGCCGTGGGGGAGCGCGAGGACAGCTAGCGCTGGGTCTGTGCTGTAGCAGGGGAAAGACCCACAGCCTCGCAGCCAGGACTCATCGGGGAGGGAAGCGACCTACCCCAAATCATGATGGTTTAGCCCTGAGTATGGGCCAGAGTCTCCTCCATCTCATCCCATCGCATCCCGTCCCGTCCCGTCTCGTCTCGTCTCATCTCATCTCGTCTATCTCGTTTACCACCGCATGTTCACACGCTGCAGCCCGTGGCTGGGCTTTGGAAGAGGAAAGTTTAACCCAGCCGAGGTCCCGGGTCCAGGGAAGGGCTCAGCATCCGAGTGCCCCGAATGTAGGCAGAGCCTGCAGGACCCAGGCGTACCGAGGTCCTGCTGCAGCTCTCTGCTCTCCTTCTGCCTCCAGTCCTTTCCCAAAGGGCTCCAGAGGTCTGCGGGATGCCCTGCTTCATCCCCCTCGAACAGACGATAACCTAACAAGCTGCAGGAGGCACCTCCCTTGGCAGACTGTGCTGTTTGACCCCTTCCTGTCACACCTCCTACGAGTTACCCTCTTCTTAATCACCTTTTGTTATCCTCTTTTTATAATCACCTTTTTAACCTGGGATGGATCTAGTGGCTGTACCTCTGTGGAGCCCGGGTGCTCTCCCAGATTTCCTAAATGGTTTCTAGCTGGATGCTTTGCCCAGTCCAGGGCCCAACACACTTCCCGTGCTGGCCTGGATGTGTCTGCAAGCAGGGCAGTGTCCACAGGTGACAGCCAGCCCTGGGATCTCTGAAATGGGTCTCCTTTTAACCTAAGTTTGCATTTTTGATCTCCCTGTAGAAAACCAAGGAAATGGGGACACGACGTTTATTGCTTTGTAATGCGTGATGTTTTCCCGGCGCATCTTCTTCCAGAGGCATCACCAGAGGGAAGAGCTTAACCAGGGTGCTCTCAGGGAAGGATGCAGATTTTGCCGCATGCGCTGGGCAAAGCAGTGTCACTACAGCTGGCACCCCCTTCCCCTGGGATGTCCCCATCTCTCCGTGCCAAGAAGTCATGCAGCAGCACCCGGGACCTCCTGAGTTTCTTCTTTTATCTCCAGGCCAGCCGAGATGCCCGCTCGTTAGTGGGCTGGCAAACATCAGTGCTTCCATTTTGTCTGCCTCCTTGTATATTCACTCTTCCAAAGCAATTTTTACCTTTGCTTTTATGCTTATCACGATGCTACTGTTCATAGGGCTTGCAGGAAGAGCCTAGTCTGGCGTTTGGCTCTCCAGCGCTGACCTTCAGGCAGTGACCACATCCTCCCTGCATGCAGAGGGATGCAACCCCAAGGCTTGATGGCTATTTTCTTACAAACTACCTCTGTCAGCAAAGGATTTTCCTTTTTTCCCTTCATGCTTTAGGGTCATTTGATCATTCGTCTCTTGTCAGTCGAACCCCCTTTTCATGTAATCTGTGGTAGTTTTCTCAAGTACCTGAACCTCACCCTTGGCACAGCCTGTCCTGTGCATTGCTGCTGACCACAGCCAGCACGGGCAGCTCCAGGACACGACAAATGCCTCATTGCAGCCTTCACCCGTGCCTGATGGGGCTGGGAAGAGTCTCCCATCAGCACCGTTACATGTTCTGCTTCTGCAACCAAAGCCTTTGATTGCAGCTCGATGCACGCAGCCTTCCAGCCTGTTGGTTTGCTTATGGCACCGTATTTGCTTCCTCATGTGCCTGGAGAGATGCAGGCACAGGACCAAGACCAAGCAATGCCGCAAGAGCAGGGCACCAGGGCAGGATTCATCTCCCCGAACGTCAGACATTAAACACCTCCACTCCCACCGGAGAGGAGCCGATGCTATGAACAGATTAAGTGAAGACAGGCGAACCCCTGACATTGGGACCAAGTTTGCTGTATGGAGGAGAATCGACCTTAAAGTCTGCATCAGTGTTTGGCAGTTTAAACCTCCTTCCCCCTGCTCTGCAGCCGGGGAGCACCCAGCTCCTGCCCCTCATGGCTGGCCCAGCTCCTCCTGGGCGCTTGGCTTTGGCAGCACGGCTCGGCCCTGCATGTCGGCCGGTGCAGCGGGGCTTCCGTCCGGAGACGAGCAGAGGGTGACGTGCTGAGACACGGCTAGCTGGGAGCCCGGTTACAGAGCCATGGTTAGGTCAGGCTCAGGTCTACAGCTGCGGGATTAATCTGGGTGTCCTCAGCTTGACCACAGCGATGCTGGAGACCTGACAATGGTGCTGGCTGCAGGAGGAGGAGGAAGCACCAAGGCGAGGGGGTGGCAGCGCGAATGTCATCTTTGCCGGGGGAACTTTAGGACTTCAGGGAAAGGAGGAAGAAAGATGCCTCTGGGAGATGCAGCTGTGCCACCTTTACTAACTCCCCGGGCTAGGACAGGACCGTGCCTTCACCCAGTGCCTTCAACCCCCAAATCAGAGTCCAGAGAACCTGGTCCGCAGCCAAGGCTGGACTCCTCCTCCAGATGATGCCCCAGCCATGGCGTCTTCCCCCAGGGCCCTGTGCTGTCTGTGCCGGGGCAGAGTGAGGCTCTGCCTTCCCAGCGCGAGGCACTGCTGGCCCTCGGGGACTGCTTTTTTGTGGAAAGAACTGGCCTGGCTGTGAGCGGGGCAGCTGTGGGGACTCTTTGTACCTGGCGTATAAACAGATGCCATCTGGGACGAGAGCGCTGTTTGTTTAGTTAAGAGAGTTCTTGGCTCGCCTGTGCAGACCTAATCAGGCGACAGAAACGCACACGCCAGACCCCTCCAGAGCCCATCCGTGCGTCCACACAGCCCCTTGCTGCTGCAAACCCCAAGGACCAGGGATGGGGCTCCCAGAGATGCCCCAACGCCGGCACCCCCCTGTGCCGGGGGTGGCAGGGAGCGGGTGATGCCACCTCCTCTGGCACTGAGACGGTGGCCCTTCTCACCAAGACGTGCCCTTGGTCCCAGGGCTGGGATGGTGCAAGGATGCTCAGTGGCATCCTGAAGCCCCTCGGGGAAGGAAGAGCCACGTCTGCCCTGGCAGGAGGCTGGGCAGGAGGCGTGTGCGGGATGAGGACTGCTGCCTCGCTCTGTCCCTGCACACCCATGCCCGATGGTGCCTTTCGAAGGTGTTTCGGGATGTCCCAGCTTGGAGGTTTCTTGCACGTCTCTGCGAGGAGAAATGGTTGCGCCCGCAGGGATCTGCAGCCCTTCCGTGTCCCTAGGCTGAGCACTGCTCAAGTCAGAGCCAGCAGCCTCATTTCCACACCAACTGCTCCAAAAAGCCACCTTCTTCCCAGCCCAAGCCCACACAAGTTGACAGTGGGGAGCCCCGAGTCTCCCCTAAGCTCCCTGGGCCATCCAGGACCAACCAGAGCAAAAGCTTTGGCCAGGAATGAGCAGATCTTGGAGAAAGAGAGGAAAACCCTGGAGAGAAGGACCTACACCATCTCCCGTGCTCAGAGAAGGCAATGGATTTCTCCAAACAAGATGAAACCAGAGCAAAATAAGATGGATATTTGCAATTCTCTGCTTAGCAAAGCTGCTGTAGCAAGTGCTGGGGATGTCTTTTTATCACGTCGCTGGTGCTGTTCTCATTAAAGCGTCCATACACGGATGTGTTGCCACACGTCCAGGTGCTGCGGCGTAGGACAGGTCTTCGGGAAGGAGGGCACTGGAGCCAGAGAGCAGGATGTGGGAAAGGAGCCGGGGGAAAAGGAGCCAGCCGTGCCCCCGAGCAGGGGAAAAGGGAAGGCGAGGGATGTGTGGTGACCGGCCGCGGGTGTTACAGCCACTGCGGGCAGTGTTTGCGGGATCACGTGCAACCAGCAAATTTGGGGTGCGCTGGAAGGATCCCATCGAAGAGCTGCAAGTTATTACAGAAAGTGCGGGCTGGTAGCAAGAGGTAAGAGGTGTTCAAGCGGTTTCATTTAATGCAGAGCTTGATCATGGCAGCCCTGCTCCCGCTGGGGAAGGCCCTCTGCAAGCGCCCGGCTTCGGCAGCAGAAGGGGAGGAATCAGGAGCAAAAACTTCCCGGCAAGAAGTCAGATTTGTGTTTCTGAACCCGAGGGTCACTCTTACCCATCTGCCACCGCCTGCATGAGACTCTCCATCCCTCGGCGGCGATGGGCGACATCTCTAAAGCCAGGTCAGGAGCTGCTCTTGGCCCTGCCACGTGCACGCTCAGGAGGGCGCGTGCCTTTGTCCCCTCCTGCCTTTGCACCCACGTGTGTCCCACCACCCCAGCTCCACTCAGGTGACACCCGCCTGAGCTCTGCTCACTGCTGACGGCGCAGAAGTCCTCACCTCCAGGCTGGGAAGGAAGGATGCTGCTCCGGCTCTTGCGGCTCAGCCGGGGAGCTGCATGCCAGGATGGTGTGGGGGAGGAGAGAGAACAGCATCCTTCCCCCGTCCCGAAGCCCTGGCTGTCCCCGCAGCCACCAGCGCACCTTCTCCTGCAGCCCAGGCCACCAGCCAGGCTGTCTCCATCCGCAGCGGCCAGCGCCGGCCCTGCACCCTCTCCGTTGCCATCTTGAGCCCTGCCTGCTCGCTCCTCTCCGCCGCGCTGACATATTTACCTCGGCTACCTAGAAACCAGTGCCGCTGCACCCCCTCCCGTGCCCTCCCCTTGCTGCGAGCGCGATTATTAGGGGAATATTTTTATGCAGCGTGTCAGACCTTTAAAAATAAGCCTAATGAAAACAGCCTGGTACTTGGCTGATTAATCACCAGTGTTTTGATGAA